ATTCGAGTTATTCGAGTTGGCGAGTTGGCCATTTTACGCGACGCCGTGATTTTCTCCCTCCCTCCCTCCCTCCCTCCCTCTCTCTCTCTCTCTCACTTTATTTTTTTTTAAATTCGCGAACGAGATCATGCGTGCCGCATCGCGTTGCAGAGCGGTATGTGCAACGACGTCGAGAGACGTGCGAAGCGTATAAAATTTCATCGCGGTCTCTCGGGTGCGTCCACCGCGGAAAATTAACCGAATGAAAATGGCGAGCTCCAATATTTATACAAGCAATTTCAGGCGTTGCTAGTCCGCGCGGTCGTCCCGCGACGCGTTCGTTTCGTGCTCGCTCGCGCATTGCTCACGCGACTCCCGGATAAAATACTGCGTGCGCGTGTTCGGTGTTCGTCACGCGTGTCACGAGGAAATCGCCGCGTGGAACGATGTCGCGAGCGTTTTTTCCCCTCCCCACCCTTTCGTTTTTTTTTCACCTCGCAATCCGCTCGCATTTTAATCGACTTCGCGATTCGGAACGCCGTTATTTTCGACCGACGCGCTCGCGCGGATATCGCGCAATCGGTACGACGATATTAATGGATAAACGACGAGGCGGCGGGAGGTACTCGTTTTGTGCCGCATCAAATCTCCGCCGTTACAGCGTTTGACCTATTTGTCAGTTAACTTCATGCACCACGTCGACAATACGAGCGCGAGCGGATAGACGGAACAAAAGACAGGGCGCATTATCGATTCTTTTCACGTCGTCGCGACGAACGCGACGGAAGGAGATCCCTGCTGCTGCTACTGGGATACGCGTTGTCTGGTTTCGTGACGCGATGAAAACTAGCTGACGCGACTCGATTGGATGCGACGTGACGTTACGCGAGACGGAAAATTGATTTAATCTAACTTTTTCCATGTAACAGGACGCAAACGATTCGAAACAACAGCGGACACAATGAGTTTTCGGTTCTTCGTATACTTTAACGGACGTTTTATCCGCGTCCCATCCCTCTTCTATCTCTAATCCACCCACCGGTGCACTCGCGCGCACACACAGTGGTCCGGCGTATGTACACAGATGCGCGCGCGTACACATGGCCACATCCGGTATTCTCCGCAAGCCGCGGGGTATTGCAATCACGCGGACGTTAGCCGGGCTTTACAGGCCGAGCGAGCGAGAACCGCCGCCGGTGTGCAGGGGCTTACCAGAAACCAGGGAGTTAGCCGAACACGCCAGTTTATTTGCTCGCGCAGCATAATACCACCAAAGTCCGACGAGCAGCCGTTGGTTTACTCGTTAGCGCAAGTAACGGCTTCCGGTTAGTCGGCAGAGGTTGGCGGCGAGCATGGCTTTGTTGCCACAAACTCTGTATTTCTCTCTCTCTCTCTCTTCTCTGTTTCTCTCTTATATTACTGGATGCTGACTCTTCGATTAAACATTTTCTAGCGTAGGGATAAAGTTCGTCGCCGGATAGAGATGCGCGATAAGAGATAAGATCGTGCTTCGATATTTGCCGCATAGCATAGAACGCAGTCGGATTTGCAGAGGCCCACCTCTTCTCGAGATAGCTTCGAGTATCGGATTATCGGCAGTATCGGGCCAGGCCGGGCTGGGCCGGGGCGGTGAAAGAGCATTCAGTTCACGTCACCGTTTTACAGGCGAGGAATTTTATCGACGGCACTCGGGCGCTTTGCATTTTCATGCCGTGAATGTTGCTGCCTGCTTTTAGACATACGCTATAGCGTGTTGTTTGTATGTATGGGAGAGCGTCTCGGAGAGTGCCTGATTCCTTTTGAGATACATCGTGTGTTCGTAACCGCGTGTCCGGGTATGTGCAAGCGTGCGACACAACGGCGATGCCGCATGTGTGTGTACGTATCTGTGTGTGCATATGTAGGAGGAGAGGCATGGCACTTTGCGAGAGCTTCTTGCGGTTTTCGCGATATTACTGAACCGGAGCATCTGCGTCTTCCGTTTCAGCGCACGTTGCGACTCCTCGTAATGTCATAAAGAACGCGGATATGAAAAAGAAAAGAAGAGGAATATCGAAGGTTTTTGAGAATTGTACACCACATGTACGTGGTTATTTGCATGTAACCATAGATTTTTAGTATAGCCTTCATCGAAATCTTATTGTACCATCCTTGATATTCCGATAGCAAACAACAACGTCCGTTGCAAATGCTATTTTAAGGAAAAAAAGCCATTCGCGCTGTGAAAGACTCCGCTCGGAGTAGAGCAATCTTCGTTGGTCCAATTTGGCACGAGAGAGAAAAATTCATTCTCAGGGCGAGATTTTCATCTCTCCCCCGTGTGAAATCCAGGCCAACGAGAGCATCGCGGCCAAAACTCGGTTTCTCGTTTCTCTACTTCTGCTGTTTCTCTCTCTTTCTCTCTCTCTCTCTCTCGTTCATTCTCGCTCTCTTTCTCTTCTGGAGCGAGAGAGCAGTAGCAGAGCATCCAAGCCATTCATTATTTTCTTGGTTACCTCTCACCCGGGGAAAACTTCTTGGCAACGCAATTACGTTTGCGACGACTCCACCCCCGTCGTCGTCTCTTCCTCCCTGGAGTCGCCACCATTTCTCGCCCACAATGTCCTCTCCCATTCTACCACTCGCTTGAAATCTTCTGGTTCTAGTACCGCCACAAACTGCCGTACAGTACGCCAAGTAGATGGGACTTTACCGCACGTTACGAAACACACTCTCCGCGTGTTATCCTTGCGAACAATACAAGTACGTTCGAGTTTCGTTGTGATAATGAGCCGTCTCATGTTCAGAGGTCAATCATTAAACACGTTAAACGTTTCGTACCAGTTATTTCTTTAAGTAAGAAATAATGGAGAGGGTTAAGTTTTATGAAAAAAAAATCATAAATTTATTATAGAAAATTTAATCAATTTATATGTGAAATTATATTTACATATTGAATATCATTTTTTTTTTTATGGAACTCTTATTTACTCGTAATCTCTTTTATACGTACGTATACATAACGTATGTATGCACAAAACGTGTACCTTTAAAATTCCAATGTTCCATAAAATTGCACATTCTGTATACCATATGTATTGCGCGCCTTTTGCATCCTGCGTAAACCTTCTTGCTCTCATACATGATGTCTCGCCGATATAGCTCGACTCATTTTCGCGTACATTATAATTAGCGGCTTAATAACCAGCACTCAGAGGGCGACGAGTAATTAAAACAGGTCCTCCTCTTTGCGTTCTCTTTCATCTTCGTTCTACGTACACATACGTACGCACACTTGTACTCTCTTTCGCTCTTTCTTTCTCTTTTTCTGCTCTCTCTCTCTCTCTCTCTCTCTCTCTTTCTCGCCACTTCTCTTTTCCCGCTCATTCGCCGAGATGTAGCTCGAGGGAAACTTGCCAAGAATTTCAGTTGGTCTGGCAATATTTCAATTAGCATCCGAGACTCGTTTAAGCAGCGACAAAAACGCGTTGACGGAAGCTCGCGTTTATATCAACCGCGAACTTGCCGTGCTTATATTTTCGGGGCGTTTACGAATTACCGAGGATGCGGATACGATAGGAGGAGAGAATGAGAGGCATGTAGAAACCAGCGGTTTACTTCCTGTTTCACGACGAATCGTCGGCTTCCGCTTCCGCGTCTTTCGAGCGTGCGAATTCTACGCGTCGGCAGGAAAACGAGCGGCGGAGCTGCCGCTTTGTTGAGGTAATTAAGTGATTTCATTTTCTCGACGAAAGCATCGAAAATGGTCCGCGCTCCGCTCCGCTCCGTTCCGTGCGCTGCCTGTTGATTCCGCGATAATTAAATGGAGTTTCGCGCCGTGTGATATTGTGCTGTGTGAATAATTATGCCGAGTTATCCGGCCTGGCGCGTAGATTTATACGTGCTCACCTAATAATGGGCTAGTGTTCTTCTATATTTAGAAAAGAAATTAGTAAATTAAGAAAATAATATCAGGATTGAGTCAAGGAAGTTACGTCACGTGTCGAGGTGATGTCAAATTACATAGCAGAAGTTGAATTTAGACATATTGAACGGTGACATATCCATTAGCGAAAAATATGTTCTTGAAGTGATATAAAAAAGCAACGTACTCCCCCGATGTTGAGTTACGTTGGGGGTAAGTCAGACTAGAGTGAAATAACACAGTGCGTGTAAATGCCTGCGCAACTGTGGCAATCTTGCCTGGATTTAATTTAATTCCCGGCAGTCTCTTCCAGCTGGAGGGCGTCGTAAACACCCTCGGTCGGTTATGCCGCACCTGCATCTTCACTCGTTTCCTTCGTGAGGGCGCGTTAAGCTAGCCCTTACCTTTCTTAACGATCCGGAACAAGCCGCCTGAGGGCCCTGGGTGTCAGATTGAACACCCTCCCACCGTAATACGTGTCTTATCGAGGGGAAAGTATTGAGTGCTCAACGAAATATTCTTTTTTATCGTTTCTAGTTTTTTTTCCTTCTAATTTCTCTTAATGGCTTTTTAATTGAACAAGGGAAAACGATAAACAATACGATATTTTCAAACGAAGAAAATTCATAAACTCAAATTTCTGTACACTAATTTGCAATGATCAGAATCTGCGATTCTCGTTCTTTATTTCTGCGTTCTATGTTCGTTTTTTATTTTGTATTTAACAACTTTTATAATTTCCCTTTGTTTTAATAATTCAAAGAGCGACAAATTTTGTAAACAAACAAAACAAAGGAAATGAAAGTCAATCATGTTGCTTATCAGTTAAGCTTGCTCGTAAAATTTTTTTTGACTTAGCGATAAATAGATAATTATTTAACTGATGTCAAATTGATAACGTCAAAGTCATTGAGTTGTTCGAATAATTATTATGTCTGATTGCTCGTGTTTATTTCGTTTTTCATGCTTATTTAAGTAGTGATTAATTGTAAAAAAACCTTCACAATTTTTAGAAATAATCTCATTCTTTGCTTCTACTACTCGCAAACATATAAGTATGATAATTTAATAATTTTGCCAAGATATTTTTTAATAGGTACTATTAAACTTTTTCCAGACGGAAATAGCGAAAAGGCTGAACGCGATCGTTGTGCAGATCCTGCCTTTTCTCTCTCAGGAGCATCAGCAGCAAGTCGCTTCAGCACTCGACAGAGCCAAACAAGTGACCATGACCGAGCTGAACACTATCATCGGGGTGAGTGCACGCCAATAGCATAGCTTGTTACAAAGATGGATCTTCCGTCGCCGCCGCCGCCACCGCGAGTACCGTCGTTGAATCACGCTCGCGACACGATCGAATACATAGCAAATCGATTCACGTGCGTCTCGGCGTGAAAAGCATTCGCGGTGGGTGGAGAACCCCTGCGGGGGCACGCTACGCTGGAAGCCGATGCACGTCCGAGGAATCCAAAAGCGGACGGGACGGATACGATCCTGGCGAATCCCGAATCCTCCTCAATATTGCTCGAGCACTCAATTTCCTCCCTATTAAGCCACCGGCTTCTCCAACCCCTCGTTTCGTTCTCTTCCTCCGTTGCTCTGTTCAGCCCCCGTCGTCGCTCCCCTTCCCCCTCCTCCCCCCCCTCTCCCTCAATCCCTCGCACCCTTATTCCTCGCCGCATTCGCTCTCACTACCTATATAGCTGCCTCTCTCTCTCTCTCTCTCTCTCTCTCTCTCTCTCTCTCTCTCTCTCTCTCTCTCTCTACTGAATCTTATCCGGAGTCTTCCCGCCCGGTTACCTAAGCCATCGGGGGTAGGTTATAGTGTTACGGTTCACGAGCGCCGACTAATCAGCATTCCAGCTACCCCTCCGTCTCCGAACCTTCCTTCCCGTACAGCCCACGGAGAAACTTCTACAGATCTGCGACGTTGTCGGGGTACGTGCGGCAAATCCTTAGCAGGATTCCGGAATACCGCCCGTCTTAGTTTACTCTCTTCTCTTAAATCCCACCAGCTATGCCGGGTGGATCGAATTGAACAAGCCACGACGGATTCGCTGGTCGATTTCGCCGTGGATAGATAAGACCAGGAAACATAATCATTTCGCGGATTATATCATATCGCGATATAGATATATCGCGGTAGATTAGCTTTTCTCGGAAGGTACGTTCTCTCTCTCTTTCTTATATAATGGCTATTAGAAACCATTGCTGTAAACTTCCTTACGTACAGATGGGATATCACAATTGTGAAGCTTCGATGTTGCGAATGATATTGGCTTACGCTACGCACACTCATACTTGCATCGATCGCAATCCTTGTGGCGACTGCTTACTTGGACCAAAGACGCTTACCGAGTGTGTCAACGATACGCAACATAAGAAGGTTAAGACGATCCCCTTTAGATCTCTTGGCCGTATAACTTTGTGTCTGGTCGAGTCAGCAAGTGGCGATGGTGACGAAAACTGCTGAGGATGAACACTTGGTAACGGATGCAGGTGCCGCGAGATGCGATGATTGTTCGCACGATGATTAAGACGCAGTAACTGGACTTTGTATCTGGAAATAAAAAAAAAAAAACAGGCACTTTAAATCGGGAAATTTTTTTACGTAAAACCTTCATCGCATTCGATGTATCTTTTTTGTCTGTTTCCTTCTCGTTAGCGAGGGTCTGAAACTGAAATTCACACCTTTAAACACCCTTCGTGTAATTCGTTCGCGCCACGACGTCAAAGCGTTCCTCCCGTTATTGCGGTATTACGGGGAATCTCAGCACGTGGATGAGAGAGTGGTTTCCTGGCACTGGTAAGAGGGTAACACTCTTGAGTAGATGTCGGATCCGTGAGGATAGCAGGCTCCCCAGGTCAGGATTATTATCGCTATCAAGAGTGGAAACTCGGAACGTTTCCTAGGGGCTTCAAGACTTCCTCGAATCACCAACGACATTTCGCAGAAATACGGCTTCGTGGACCGTAAAGCCGTTTTCCGTCTTTCATCTTTCATCTTTCATCTTTCTCTTTTCTCTCGCTCTTTCTATTTCTGCCTCGCTTTCTCTTTCTCTTCTCAATCTCCATTCCTCCACATAGACGCAGCGTGGCGTCGGCATCGGCACGCTTATACACATTTCTCTGTTTGTGTGTTTTGTGGGTGGCTCTGTTCAGACAGTCGACGCTCGACGCGAGGTTATTATATCGTTAAGCCATTTAATTATCTCGGCAAACTACTCCCTGGAATATATATTCGCCCCGGCCTGCCTTAACGAGTGTACATGGTTACAGACGGGTGTGGGTGTACCATACCTTCCTCTAGCACTTGCCGTCTGCGCACTATCCTTCCTCCCTCCCCCCCCCTCTCTCTCTCTCTCTCTCTCTCTCGTGATTACCTACTTCCCACCAGTCTCGCCTCCACACCATGATCTGCGAACCGTTAAAACAGCGTTGAACAGATCCACAATTTGTCTGGCGGCTTGGTCCAACTAACGAGGAAACTACGAGCAAGATACGCTTAAGATTCCCGTGAAACTTTTCGTCGACGTTTATTCGTTCGCTCACTCACTCGCTCGATGGTAGAACGCGCAAGTCTTTCCACTTGTTTCGCAGCCTTTGATTTACCCGGGCGAGGTCGAACGCGGAGGTTACTCAAACTTGCCGGAGTTTACTCGGCAATTTGTATGCTTTGCTAATGGAAAGTTGCCTCCGTTGACTGTAACGAAGTGTATTTTCGCGTAACGGCGGCAGCGGCTGGCGGTGGCTGGCAGTGACGAGGAGAAGAGAGATTCGCTGAGAGACAGAGAGAGAGAGAGAGAGAGAGAGAGAGAGAGCCAGGGGAGAACGCGCGATCGTGACTGGAATTAAGCGGAGCGATTTTTCCAGCGAATTATCGTTGCGTTGCTTTTTGTTCGCCCCCTCGCTGTTTCCCTGTCTCCTCTCACAGAAACGAAATTGTTTGATCAATTATGATGGATGAGTGGGAGAGAGAAAGAGAGAGGAGAGGTGCACCGTGCCGTGCTTTTAAATCCACGCGCGCTCGCTCGCGAGCGCGATTTTATTTGCTTATGCATTTGTCCGCGCTGGAAACGTGAGTTCACGTTCAGCAAACAGACTCTCCTAACGAAGCTGCGGCAGCGTACACACCACACCACCGTGCTAAACCGATAGCCCGTAAAAATCATTTCCGAACTTCTATTGGACTTGGCTCTCTCTCTCTCTCTCTCTCTCTCTCTCTCTCTCTCTCGGCCATAGCGACCACGATAATATCGACGCGCTATTAAAGTTTTCCCCATCCCACTCGTCCCGTTCAATTCCAATCTGCCGCGCTCTTAGCGATGATCGCCTCGATTCCCGTACATCGCATTTTTTCACGTCTTTCGCAGAATAATACTCGCTCGCTTTTATCTGGTAATTACAGCGGAAATACTTGAGAGGCGTTACGCGCTCTCGAGCCCGTTAATTGCCTCACCACTTATTTAATCTAATCTACGGAACTTATCGAGATCCGAGCGATATGTATGTATATATATATATATATATATATATTATTCGCGCACGTATGTACATACTCGTAAACACGTAATCTTTCCCGTGTCGATGCTTTATGAGGTGTTTATCAACGAACAACCGATAGTGGTCGACGATATTATTCCGATCGTGATGGATAAATCGTGTATTGCGTAAACGATGTTATTGGCACGTTAAATTTTTGTTTCAGCAACAGAGGCCTGATCTACCGAGACTCCTGCAACAGATGCATGCCCAGCAACTGCCACCGGGCGCGGCGATGGGGCCGCATCCGGGTATACCCGGACTTCCTGGGTTGGGCCCGGGCGCGGGTATACCGGTCCCCACCTCGGCATCCGCAGCGCTTCTCGGTTTAGGCCTTCCCCCGGGAGCGGCTGCCACCCCCGGAGGTACGGCTGCACATCCGCTGTCGATGCTGACCAAACCGGAACTTCATCGCGGTCAACCCGATGATCTCAAACCTAACGGAGGTAAGTTACATGAACTTTCTTTTTTACTCTCTAAATCCTTTGGAGTGGAGTCGCAATCTAAACAGTGAAAATTGAACCAGTCTTGAAAAAGAGTGGCTCAGTTTTCAATCTTTAAAGAGTCTGTCACTCTTCAGAGTAAGATTCACTCTAAGAGTCTTAGAAAGTATATTTTTGGGCCATTTAATATTTGGAGCCTTAAAATTGTTTCAAGCATTAAATTCAAGATTTTTTTAAAATTGACGTGTGTATTTATAAATAAAGTTTTCAAAGGAAAGAATTTATAATCAGAAATATTGAAAATTTCTTTTACAGTTGGTAAATTTTGCTCTAAAATTATTAACTGTCGTCTTTGGATGAATTTTTTTTTTCATCAGCCGCTTGACGTGTAAATTTGCGTCTCTTTTGACGAGCGTGTAAGGTCAGTCGCGTCGATAGAAAAGATTCAATTCGTGGAAGTCTGTCGATGCCAATGTCTCGTCTGTCTGCCAATGTCGCGCAGTCAGCGACTCCGCTCCGTGGATATTTTGCGCACCAAACGATCCGTTTAACCGTCTAGTTCGCAGAAGGTTGCGCATCCAGCCTCATGTTTCACGTAACTCGGCTACCTGCTGTTCAATCGCCTATCTTTGCTTCTGCGAGAATAGGCCGGTAACCGATCCTCATGAGACGATATGTTGTTGATTTGCCGTGCTCGTCGTGACTCGTAATCTCATCGATGATTCAGCGCTATACGCAGCGACGATGAACGTAAACACGATTAATCCGTCGAGAGCCCGTCGGTGTAATAGATGAAAACTGCTCGTGAGAGCGTTTCAAGAAGCGAAAGAGATCACTTGGAGAATGTACGATGAGACATCGCTCTAAAGTCGCTGAAATTAAGCGGAACCTTTTCGTGCTATTTTAAGTGCAGTCTGGAACGAACGAGTCGATGATGCAAACGACCGTACTTAAACCCGAGAGAAGCTCCTGAAACTCTCGATCTTGACCTCGAGAATCCTCTCGGGTTTTAGTCCCCTCTCCTCTCTCTTTCTCGTATCTTCTTCACCTCTCCTACATCTATCTTTCTCGTTGGCACGTCACGCGACTGCAGATCTTGGTTCGCGCTCTTGGGGGCCTCACGTACCGCTGACGAAGACGCGTTGGTACTCCTTCAAACTCCTCTCTTCCATCTTTCGTTTCTCTCCTCTCGTGTCCTTATTCTCGCGCGTTGCCTAGCTTTCCTTCGATCTTTCGCTCGACGTGTCTCGTTCTAGCCACAACCATCTCTCGAGAGAGCACTCAGAATTTCCTCTCGACACGAGTGTACTTCCACAACCCTTCCCCTCCCCCTTTCCACGTCTGACGCCCTTACTCGCTGTCTCTATTCCCTGATGGCCTCCACTCTGACCCTGTCTATCCTTTCCCTCGACTTGCACTCAACTATGTTACTCAGGCCGGGTATATAGCCTCCGGCTGGTTTGCTTTGCGCCTTGTTTTGCGTTTTCCGATCAATGGGCCCATAATGGGATATCCGTCGATCTTGAAGCAATCACTTCCACGGAAATGCCTCCGGCTATCTTAGAAATTTTATTAATACCGTGAATTGCTAAATTGTCCCTATTTGATGACGTGAATAAAATAAACGTTTCAGTGAGCAGACAAGTTTGAATACTTGGACAAAATTTGTCGTTATTAATTTCAAATGCTTTTTTTATTACAATATTATAATTTAATTCTATTTAAAGATGACAGTTAAATTATAATAATAAATTATAATATTTAAAAAAGCATTTGAAATTAATAATAATAATATAAACAAATATAAAGTTTGTTTTGTGTAAATGTCTGGACGTAGGTATACGTCCGGTCATTGGGACGTTTATGTTATCCGGTGGCACATTACATATTATTTCGTATGTATTTTTTCTAACTATGCTCCATATAACACGAACTCTTTGTCCTCTTTCTTTCTTCCGCCGAAGCGTGATCACACGTCCGCTTTGCTCGCAGCAAAGAAGGCGTGAAAAAGCGCAGTCAAAAAGAACAGATCTACTGCAGTCTACATTGTCAACGATCGCAGACACTCTTTTGAAAAGAGATTCCGCTGCGAACCGAGAGACGTATAACGGCCCAGTATTTCTGTCGTGACAACTGAAACTTCTTCCCTTCTTTCCGGAACATTGCCCGGAGCGAATTGTTTCTACCAGCGCGCGGCAGTCTCGTTCTCGTTTTGTTCTTCCCTTCGGCGGTTTTTCGCGTTTCCCCCTAAAACGACTGTATCCTCGGACATATCCGCCGTAATATCTGCTACCGGCTGTCTGTGTGACGCCACGATTCCTTTTTATTCACTTCGCAACGAGCTGCAGTCTTTATGCTCGATTAGAAACCAATGTCGGCCGTGTTGGCGTTGATAATAGCGGCATTGATAATAGCGGCATCCTCGCTCGATTTACTCTTAAGTTTATATCTCCGCATCGCTCCTCGAGTAGAAGTGGTATGATTTTAATACGAAGCGGATTTTCATTGAATAACTCGAATGCTCGATAACGTGCCACTCTTTATCTGATAATTTTCCGAGTAACGAGCGAGCTTGTCCTCGGTACTTTTAGTGAACTTATCCTAAGATGGGAGAGGAGATGCGAGCACGCGGGTCCTTAAAACGTCTCTCAGAAACACTCGACGACCTCTTCGCGCTTTAGTAGAAAATTATGCTGAGGGAGGAGAAAAGAGTTTTCTCTGGCCGGATAGGAGGAAGGATAAAATGGGGATGACGGGCATTAGCGAGCTCTATACTAGCGCGTGGAGAAAGAAGATACCTCTTGCTCCTTCTATCTTCTGAAACTGCTCCGCTTTGCACGCGTCTGCTCGATAACGATGTGAACGTGTATCCAGGATTTTAACCCCTGAAACGACCTGACTCTCGGCCTTCTCTTCACATTTTACGTCGACTACCAGTAGACTCGGTGGTAGCTCGGAAAAATACGAGAAAGGTCTTTCGACCCAATAAAGTTTTCCCCGACCATCATTCCCGTTATTATTTGACGGACTATAGAGACTATAATAATAAAATCACTCCTTCATCTCAATGTAGATGGTCGATGATACTCGAGAACATTCAAATGAAAGCTCCAAATGGGAACTTAGAAATTAAGATATTTCATTGAACGACGAAAATACGCGTTTTATCGTTGCAATTTTATTATTGGGGAAAATGTCTCGCTATCGTTTTGTATATCGAAGCTCTGTCTCTCGCGGCGTCAATAAAAATATTTTATTTCCGTGGTGGTTAATGTCGCGAGAAAGAAAAGAGGCAATTTATGGTGGTCCCGGTGCACCAAGAACATAAACGGTTCGTGTAATTCTTATTTCGTAGTAGGGCGGGTAACGGTAGGAAAAAGATATCGTTAAGATATTTCCTACGAGACCAAAGTGTACCAACTGGCGCGGGGTACGGGGAAGAGGAGGAGGAGGAAGAGGAGGAGGAGGAGGAAGAGGAGGTGGAGGAGGCTGGGGAAATCGAGCGAGGGCAAACTATGAACTCGGCTTCTCGGGGACAAAGCTTTTCCGTCTGGATTTTCTCCTCTCCCTGTTCCAGCCGCGGCTTTTCTTTTTCTCGATCTCTCTCGCTCCCCGCGCTCGCCGTCTCGGAAATCCTTGAGAAGTCTAGCTAGTCTCGCGCGTCTCCTCCTTCTTTCTCCTTTATCTGCTTCTTCCCGCGGAAAAGATTCCGTCGACATACCGCCGACTTCTATTCCCTTCGACGCTGTAATAATAATAAAAAAAAACATTTCATAGCATTCGTTCTGTCGGTGGGTAGATCTGTCGAGAGTGATTTCTGTAACATAGATTTATCTCGACGAGAACAGTCGCTGTCATCTTACAATAACATTTTAATAATATCACGATTTTCACGCGTAATTCACACGAAATTTTTTATTCTTTGTTACAGGTCTCAATCCGGCTGAGGAGAGGCATGTGAGTATCACATCCAATATCTAGTAATTTCTCATTCGTTGTGAATGAAGAAGATTGGCACACTGCTGGTACTGTCGGGCGTGTAAAATTTCACCTCATAAAAGGGATTAGATCGCCGCTTACGTGCGATGTATTATTGGACGAGCGGAGGTGGAGGAGACTACGAGAGCGAAAGAGGAAATTAGCGCGATATCGCGTGGGAGAAAAAGAAAAAGAGGAAGAGAGAAACAGAGTGACGCGAAGCGGATGGGAGGTGGAGATGGTGACGAAGGAGGAGGAAGCGTGGAATGGACGTAAAAGCCTGAACACCGGAACACAGGGCCGTAAAAAGCTCGTCGTCAAAAGCACTCCCTTCCGCTTTCATCGACCACTCGGTATTCGTTCTCTTTCCACTCTCTTTGGCCCTCTCTATTTCTCCGCGTTTCTCTTCTTCTTCGATAACATAAAGCGTCCGCTGGTTGCGGCGCGCGCGTTTATTAAAAGCGCTCCGGAGAGGAAAAAAGCCTCGAGAGCGCTCGAGGGCACCGCCGTTCGCGCTCTCCGCCTCTCAGGTCTCTCGAGTGTCCTGCGAGATCGGTCCTACCGATCGATCGATCGTTCGGTAAAAGGCTCGCGCGAGAAAGGAGAATCGATCAGCCGCGGTTGGAACTCCCACCCGCCTCTTCCATTTTTCTTTTTTTCTTTTTTTTTCCTTTTTTTTTTCTTTTTTTTTCATTTCAGGATGAATATCGATGTGCGCAGTTAGCTCGGGCGTCGATTAAACGGTCCCGCGCGTCGTAACAGCGTTCCCGCATTAACCGATGCGATGCGGCGAAACGAATAGGCGATTAAGGTTTCACACTCGTTGAAAAATTCCCGAACTACTTGCCGAATCGAGAAAAATACAGTTTGATATTTGATTTTGCCAATATTTTCGCGCCCGGACGAGCGATTTTTTGGTTATTAATCCTCTTTCAGTCGCGATGAAATTTACTGCGAGAGAGAGAGAGAGAGAGACAGAGAGCGGGGGAGGGAGAGAGAGAGAGAGAGAAAGAGACAGAGATGGAGAGAGAGAGCGAAACGGACCGCTGAGTTGTAACTCGTTCGATTCGATGGCGATGGCGCCCGCGGCACGCTGCCAGCCCGATAATTAGTGCCCGTTTAATATGCACAATTATTACGGATTGATAATCGGGGCTGCGCGTCCATTACATCGGTATGGAGATAGATGGTAATAGGTTGCTATCGATATTAGTTCTCCTCTTTCACCCTCTACGTATTCCTCCCTCTCATCCGCATCGCTTCCTCCCCTCTGGCTCTTCTCTGTGAATTCTCTTCCGTTTATCTCCCCCGTTTCACCGCTCCAACCAAGTACCTTCCACAGTTTCAAACTGCGACTCTGAGGCCTGTGAAATTGAAATATGAATGCTAATGGGGTTACTCACCCCGTATAATATTACTGATTGCTGTAAAGGTGAATCTTGTTATTCACCTTCCTACATACCTTTTTCTTCACCTTCTGTATTTTCCTTTCATTTCATGAACACCTTAGCAGATCGATAGCCACGTTACGCGTTACTTCTCTTGTTTAATGTATTAATAATAATGGCAAAATGAATTTTAAAAAAAGCTATAACTACGTGTATTTTTATTTCGAAATTTCATATCTTCCTTATTTTATCAAGACGTTTCACTGCATGTATACCGTATTGATCGAGGGTCCGATCTTGGCGCGAAGGCGTCTATCGTCTTCTTTTTAACGGAAGGGAGTTCCGAGCCATCGAACAAATTGACGCTGTACTTACCGAGTTCCGAGGAGCGAAGAATTACGTTCCCATCGATCCGCTTTCTCGCGTCACTTTAAATTTATACGTCCTCTCCACAGCGCGCAGCACGGGGCAGGCTGTACGATAAAACTTCTATTCCGCTCGGCGGGTCGTTACCCAACTACATTTTCATGTTCCTTCTTGCACCTCCATCCACCCTTCTTCCGTGCAATCCGATCTCGTGATTGGATCGACGAGAGGAAGAACGGTGCTTGCGGAAAAGAGGCAAACTATCGCGGAAAGCTAGATGGAAAGGAGAAAAAAAAGTCTCGAGAAAGAGTGAATATATATATATATATGTACGTATGTACAGAGGAAGAGACGAGAGGTGGAAAGGAAAGAAAGTTGGCGTCTCAAATCGAAAACCGACGACAGCCGGAGAGAATACGAGTCGTTATTATTCGTGCACCAGTAAAGTCCTCTCCTTTCATTCCTGAGAGCTTTACCTTTCGCATCCCTCTTCTCATTTCTCTCTCTCTCTCTCTCTCTCTCTCTCTCTCTCTCTCTCTCTCTCGCGCGCGCGTGCGTGTGCGTTGCCTCTTTACTTTCAGGATCTTTCACGACCCGGGAAATATTTCCTCTGTATGTTGCGAAACATCCCGAAGCTTTTCGAGGATGCGGGAAAGAAGCCAACGGTGCCTATAGCTGGGATATGTTGTCGTCACTCGTTGCGCGAACTCAAAAAAGAAGAAATATGGGAAAAGATTTAGCTACTCTCTCCGTGCGAGCAACTCGACAACTCTCTTCTCAATCAAAAAGCGTCGACTCGTAACAAATCCATAAAACATCATGAAGCACGGCTGCCCCCTGTGGCGTAAAAAGGCAGGAAAAGTGTATAGGAATGGAAGGGCAACGGACGACCGCGGAATATTTATTTATTGCTATTGCTTCGCACAGACGGGTGAAAAAGGCGGGAATTCCCAGCTATTACCTGGCCCCCTCGTGGACATGCAAGCGAGAGTTAAATTGAATTGCGCGATGCTTACGCCTCGTTTCGGATAGCTCGCGGTAAATTGTCGCGAAAACTGGTGGTCTCTCGATGGTGACGAGGAGAATACTCGTATGGGAGACCGTTAATGTTGATTCATCTCGCTGTAATGTGAACGCATTTTCACGAAAATTACCTGCGACTGTAAAGCCAGATATATATTATTATGTCCCCGCAATTCTTTTTCGCGCGCACTTTCTCCGCTTTTGTTCATATTTGCAGATAACTCTATTTTCAACATGAAATATTTAATAAACAATCGCCAAAATAGTGTAACGAGAATATTTCATGATAATTCAACGATATTATACCTTTCATTGGATGTTATCGCTTTGCAGCTTAATGTTGATCTTGTACAGTAACCTCTTTATAGAGCGAAACATTAATGCAAATATGCAATAATATATACGACATTATTCGTCACTTATTTCAGAACAATGACGTTGATATGATTTACCGAACGTTAATTGTAATCAAATATTCTATTGCGGAAAAAATCACCCCGTATCTCGTAGCCCGGAGGCTGGCATTGCAACCGCATCAGCGATCCTGATATCACGAAAACAGAAACGATTTTAAACGTTTAATCGAAATCGATTCCGTTATTTACTGTGTGTATAAGCCCTCGCGCCATCGCGATGTTGTGGTGGCAGGTACATGTTGGGCTGTTCCGAGAGTTGAAAATCGGCTCCAAATCGAGACGCCGCGATATCGATTGTTCGTTCTCCTCCCCCTCAGCCCCTCGTACGCCTCCTCGCTTTTTCCTTGGTTCAGCCATTTTCCGGCAGTTCGTTCTCCATTGGTCGCGGAGCTCGCGGTCGCGTTACTCTTTTTCCAACTTTTACGCCATCCTCTCACCTCTCCCTCACCGCTCAGCCTCTTCCATCCTATCATCCCCTACCCGCCTTTTTAATCCCATCACAGAGTCGAGCGCGCACCAACGAGGCTGTCGCCGGAGGTCGGTAAATTAAATCTCGAATAAAGTGCAAATAAACGAGCAAGGGGGGGAGAGAGAGAGAGAGAGGGAGAGAATGAGGATGGGAGAGAGGGGCGTTACCCGGGTGGTGGTCGAAAGTGCGGTACAAAAAAGCGACAGGGTGAGAGCGAAAAAAAAAACGCTAGTCGAGAGAAAAGAGGAAGGGAAATGAGAGAGAGGGTGAGAACACAGAGAAAGGGTGAGTACGGGTGTGAGGCTAAGAGAGAAAGAGATACGGAAAGGGAACGAGAGAGAGAGAGAGAGAGAGAAAAGAGCGAACTGACGCGCGAGAGTGTAATTTATTTTAATTAGAGTGGCTGCATTATGTAAGCGGGTGAAGCGCCGATGAAAGGGTTTGAAAGGGTCGAGAGATCCTGACACCGACCCCCCGACCAACATCCCCTTCCACTAACACCCTGTCTCTGCTGTCTACCCCCGGGAACAGACTAATTCGCTCTCATCCAGGGCTGTGAGGATCGCAGGAGAGAGTTTCGAGAAGTCGCCGTTGAGATTCGCGACCGATGCGCGATGCCGCGACACGGCAATTTCGCATCCGGAATGTTTGCGCTTGAAATGCAGTGCACACTAGAGACGATATATTTTACATACACAGCTAGTCAGGAAGCTTAAAACAAATTTTCCGTTTATAATTGTGAAAAATTAGAAGCTCGTGTCAGTTATATAATAATATTTATTTAAAGTTTTATTATTAAGTTTTTCTATTAGATACAAAATCCGGAATTTAATTAGCTATCTAGTTTCTTAGATGGAATTTGAACGAGATTTTTGCTGCTCCGACGATCTCGGAGTGTATTCAACCGCATAGGGTGCGCGAAGCGCGAGTTACGCTCTTGAATTTCTCACCCTCTTTCCTTGGCGGGCAAAGTAGAGAACCAGCCAACCCTCCTGCTTTACCGACGCCTCTGATCTCGTTAGGAACGCATTAATTAATTTACAAGATGGCGGCGGTGGCGACGACGACGGTATAAGAGAGCAAGAGCCTCGTTGTACCGCGGAGGGGTGGAAGAGTGGCGACTGGGGGTTGGGGCGAGGGTTACTGCACGGCACGTTTTAATTACTAATTGAAACGTTCTCCTACCACCTTCCACCGTGCCGATCCCGTAATTCCGTTTCCACGTTGCTGTCACTTTCACCCCCTACCCTTAACTCTAACGACTCTCCAACCCTCTCTGAACTTGCAATTCTCTCTGTCTTAATATCCGCTCTTCTC